CATGAAACTGATCAGCAGCAACATGAAACTGATCAGCAGCAACATGATGTGATTTTCACAGTGATTATTCTAGTTAGAGATTCATGAGTCTAACAGCCTCAGGGTAGAAGCTGTTCCTCAGTCTAGTGGTTCTACACTTAATGCTCCTCAACCTCCTTCTTGAGGGGAGCGGGGCAAAAAGTGTGTGTGCTGGGTGAGTGGGGTCCTTCATGATGCAGGTGGCCCTCTTCCTGCATCTGGAGGTGTAGATGTCTGTGATGGTGGGGAGGCTGATTCCAACATCTTTTTTTTATTTTATTTATTTATTTTTTATTAAACTTTATTTCAATTAGAGAACATTACAAAATTCTTCCAAACCAAAATCAACAAAATACACACACACACAAATGATACAAAACTGTCACAAAACATATTAAACTAGACCTCACATTTCTTAACTAAATGTGAATACAACTATCTCGGTAAATATACAAAAATAAAATTCAAGCATAAATAGCAGAGGGTCTGAAACAATAAACCAATAAATGCAATACAAAGAGAAAAAGAAAACTAAACAGCAAAACAACAAAACAACAAAACAACAAAACAACAAAGGGGTCTGCTTATGGGATAAAATTAAATTTCTGAAAAAGAGTTTTTGTTCTTATAAGTTTCTTATTATTAAAATTAAGTGTATCAATAGAGGCAATATATATTTTTAGCTCTCCACTGCACACCTGTAGAAGGAGGTGAGGACTGAGCTTCCCAGACCAGCTCGCCTCAGCCGTCTGAGGAAGTAGAGTCTCTGATGAGCTTTCTTGATCAGGCTGGTGGTGTTGTTGCTCCAGCTGAGGTTGTTGTTCAGGTGTACACCCAAGTACTTGTAGCTGGAGACCACTTCCACCGCAGATCCTCTTATGTTCAGGGGGGTGTAGATGTTTTTGTTCCTTCTGAAGTCCACAATCATCTCTTTTGTCTTCTTCACATTGATGTGAAGGTTATTCTCTCTGCACCAGCTCTCCAGGTGTTCCACCTCCTGCCTGTAGCTGGACTCATCATTGTTTGTGATGAATCCCACCATTTTTGTCATACAAAAACAACGCCTTTTATATCGGTGAGTTATTTTGATGTAATGCTCCACGTCCGATATTTAACTTTATTGCTAATATCGGCCGATACCGGTACCATGCCGACAATATAGTGCATCCTGAATAAAAACAGGGGTGCGCACCACCAAAGAATCCACCGCGCATCACCCCTGGTGTGCACCGCACACCACCACCAGTGGAGAATCCACAACCGCCGCAGTGGTTTATTTTATTTAGTGCATTAAATAAAATAAAACTAACTTTTGCAGCTTAATAATAGTTTTGGTTTTCCTGTTTCTCATTTGCAGTATGATAAATAGTAGGAGCATAAATATACACTCCTGATGTTTTGTTGTTCTTTTTTATAAATAAATTACTTTTTTTTTAAAAGCGTCTTGAGTTCCTATGATGTCATCAACTAGTCGATGTTGACTCGACTATTATCATGTTAATGTCGACTTTAAAAAATATGTAGTCGTTCAACCTCTAGTTGTGTCACATTGTGGTCCAGATGTGAGGAAGTACCGACCTGTGGAGAAGACGATGTCAGTGTCAAGTTCTTGCAGTTTCTTCAGCAGCTCATTGTTCATGCTCTCCAGCTCCTGCTTCATCCTGCTCTCATCCATTCCTTCAACCTGTGGCTCGTACCTGGATATCAACACTTGCATTTACTATGTCATCAGGACAGTATGTAAAAAATAATTCAAACTGCTTGTTCCCCTCAGAGTGTTTGTTTCTACTGAGGCTGCCTCGTGTCTTAGCAGGGGTGGACAAAGTTTAAGCTACAAACAAACAAACAAAAATCCTTATGGTTAGGAAACCCCGGTTCTCAAAGTAGCATGAATGAGATGTCTCATTATGGGATATGCCTCCCTTGCATACTTCTCAGAAGCACTTATATCATTATACAAACCTGTGTGGCTGGTGAATGAAGCCTGCACCACCTACCCTTTAAATAGCATGTGCTTCATCGCAACATCATTCAAAAGAAACACCTCTTCTTGGCACACCCCAGCAAGAAGAGTGGACTGGTGAGACATCTCACTCAGAGAACCAGGCTTACACAAGTAACCTAAAGCAAAAGAAAGTGGTGATAACCAACTTGCCGCAGTACATGTCCTGAATAGATGTCCATTTTATTTGATGTCACAACCATGGATTCCCCCTCTGTTCTCAAATGTTGTCTCGTGGGACCCCTGGGGATACAGCAGGGTCCTTGCAGGTGGTCGACACTGGGCATGCGTGAGGTCATTGTACTGTAACAAAGCTAATGCCCTCCAAGAGCGAGGATGTAACCAGCCTGTTTAATTTTCTAAACTTGAATGCTTTTATTTGTGCAAAGGACCTTCAGTCTGGATGCAACAGTGAAACGGTTTATTTTAAACATGTATGTGCTTATTGGACTTGTAAGAGGGACAGAGCCAGCTGTCCAAACAGTCAGCCTTCCTCCTTGTCTGGCTGGGGAATGAAGCGGCAGTAGGGAGTCGAAGGGACACACTTTGGCCACGTGTGCAGAACCAGTGAATGATGATCATCCAGCTCTTCCACTTGTGAGAGGGGCAAGACTTTTCTTCTTCCTCACAAAATGATTTTGAGCCAGGAAAGGTTGTGTGGGAGGAGCTACTGTTAAAGCTGGAGCCTTTCAGGGCCAACCCGGTCTCACCTCCTACCCAGACAAGGCGACTGGGGAGTTTGGGACATTTGGGGATCTTGAAAGGCTGTGAGATGGTCTGCAATGGGACCTTTAGAGGGAAAGGTTCTGTTTTTCTTAGGTAGGTAAAACTGGAGTTCCTTGCCCCCCTTTTTTTATTTTTCTCAAAGTCTCACACTGCTGCTGCATGGAGGCTAAAGCAGAGCCAAAACTACCTCAGGCACAATCGGCCTGCCCAGGAAAGGGGAATAAAAGTTATGAAGTGGTAGAAACTGTGGTAGCAAGGTAGAAAGGTACCTGTAGATTATTTTGTTTTAATTATTGCATGCAGGTTGACAAAACTGACACATTTTTTGTGTCATTATTGCTGGGCACAGTGTAAATTTGTATTGTGAAGGCTGCATGACGCCAGGTCATTTTCTGTTATGAGTAGGTCTATCACAAAATCAGAAAACGGTAAAAAGCCACTAAAGTCACTGTTGGTGGTTATTAAAATGTTCATTGGGAAAAGTTAATATTCTTGTTTTTAAACATGCAGTTCAGTGTCACCATTGCTTAGCACAACAGCAAGTTCTTACAAATAACACTAAATCAAAAATAAACAAAATACAAGTCAAGTTCACCTCTAAAGTCATTGTGATTAATTGTGTCACATTAATTTCATTCTCTTTGTCATAGGAGTGAACTTAAAACCAGGATGATGCAGATATGGACTAGTTGAATGAATGTGAAGCTCTCGACCGTGACCTCTCTAAGTGCCTTCAAACATCTGTTAAGTTCCTGCAAGAACCAACGCAGACATGTTCCTGCTTTTAGTTTTCTACACCGCCTTATAATCCAGCTGCTTTTTGGTTGTTTGTTCTCGCTACTTTTCCTTTTGACTGTCCTTTTGGTTGATATTTTGTTTTGATCTGTAAAAAAAATAAAATAAAGAAATTTAAATTTGTATGCCTCTTTTGTGACTGTCCATTGTTGTCGTTAGGGGCATTTTTAGGGTTTTGAAACATTGGGGGCTTTAGCCCAGACCCCTTCTTCATCCTCTTCCTTATTTAAAAAGTGCCCCTTCAAGCCTGTATTTATCAATTTTTCAGACTATTATTCTTCTATTTAGTTTATTTATCATACGCAGTCACAACTGATTTCTGTCAGCAGTGGAAAATAACATTTATAAAAACCATATATTGCTGCTATTATATTTACTTTTAAAAGTCAACTAAACATACTTTAAGAGTATTTGCTTCTTTTATCCTGATGCATGCTCAATAATCCAGGTAGAAAATCCAAAAAAGTTCAATCTGGTCCTCTGGACATTCAAAAAAAACAAAAAACAAAACAAAGCAAAAAAATATAGAAATGTTTCGTCTTCCATCCGAAAGACTTCCTCAGTCTGAGGTGCTGTATAAAGCTCAGTCTTATAAATAGCACCTTCTCAGAGTGGATCAACCAGTTTTGCTGCTGACAACCAAAACCAGCTGATCACATGCTCAAGAAGGACCATCAGCCTAACAATGGATCATTAGCACCTGATGGCTGTTTACTATTCACAGAGGGCTGAGTGATACTAGCAATCACAGCATTGTAAGAGGGGGACAGTTGAACACGGAGGCCTCCACCCCTGTTTAATGATGGACGGTTTCTTTTCACAAAGATGGCCTCCTTTACTCCTCTCTCAAACCATCGTTCCTCTCTGTCCAGGATGTGAACATCTTCATCCCTGAAAGAGTGACCGCTGGCCTGGAGATGAGTGTAGACCGCAGAGTCCTGGCCTGATGATGTTGATCTTCTGTGCTGGGCCATCCTTTTGGCCAGTGGCTGTTTAGTTTCCCCGATGTAAGACTGATCACAGCCCTCCTGACACTGAACAGCATACACAATATTGCTCTGTTTGTGCCGGGGGACTGGATCTTTGGGATGAACCAGTCTTTGCCATAATGTATTTTGGGGTTTAAAAGCCACTGGGACGTTATGTTTAGAAAATAAACGTCTCAGTTTCTCTGATACTCCCTCAACATATGGAATGACCAAAAAGTGTAACTTGGAGCGGCATTTCAAGACGATGCACAAACGGTTTGAGACAGATTTCCCTCTTAAAAGTTCTTTACGGACTCAGAAAGTGCGGGAGCTAAAAAACAAGCTTGCAGCCCAGCAGTCAGTCTTCACTCGCCCCAGCACAAAAGGTAAAGCTGCTACGATAGCTTCCTACCGTGTTAGCCGCATCCTGGCTCAACATAAGAAGTCTTTCAGCGATGGACAAGTTATGAAAGAAGCGTTTATTGAGGCTGCAGATGCGCTTTTTCATGATTTTAAAAATAAAAGTGAGATCGTAGCTGCTATTAAAGACGTGTAGTTGTCCAGACAAACAGTGACACGGCGATGTGAGGGAATGGCTGTGGATGTGGAGGAGCAGCTAAAAAAGGACGTGGAACAATGCGAGTGTTTCTCTCTTCAGTTTGATGAGTCGACAGACATGGTGGATGTAGCCCAGCTGTGTGTTTTTATCAGAATGGCCTTTGCAGACATGAGTGCAAAAGAGGAGCTGCTCACCATCTTGCCTTTGAAGGGACATACAAGAGGAGAAGATATTTTTAATGCGTTTATGGAGTTTGTTAATAAAAGCAACTTGCCCCTCTTTAAACTAATTTCTATAACAACTGATGGCGCTCCAGCAATGACTGGTCACACCAGTGGATTTGTTGCACTCTGCAAGCAGAATGATGCTTTCCTAGACATTTTGCACTATCACTGCATCATCCACCAACAGGCCCTGTGTGGGAAGATTTTAAACATGAAGGAAGTGATGGATGTTGCCATGAAAACTGTGTGCTCTATAAGGGCCAGGAGTCTGCAGAGGAGGTTGTTCCGAGCTCACTTGGAGGAGGCAGGAGCAGACCACACAGACCTGCTGCTGCACATGGACGTCAGGTGGCTAAGCAGAGGTAAATTTCTGGACAGATTCAGTGAGCTGTTGCCTGAGATCAGGGATTTTCTGAAGCTGTCAGATCATGGTGAACATTCAAAACTAGAGGACACCCAGTGGCTTTTGGATTTAGCCTTCCTCACAGATCTCACCAGCCTGCTCAATGAACTGAATTTGGAGCTTCAGGGAAAGGACAAAAACATAATCCACATGATCAGTTCTGTGAGCACCTTCAAAAGCAGGCTGCAACTGCTCACAAGTCGGCTGCAACGCAGGGACCTGCGAAACTTCCCACACATGGAGGCAGAGCTACAGCGCCAAGGGAAAGAAGTCCCACAACTGGACAGTGCACACTATTCTAAGCAGGTTCAGAGCATCTCAGCAGAATTTGAGAGACGATTTACTGACTTTTCCTCCATCGAGCCTGTTACCAGCTACATGTGTTATCCTTTTGGAAATGTTGATGTGGATGACATTGTGTCCAAATTGGTGTCCGTGTTTCAGCTGGACAGCTCTGGTGTTGAAAATGAGGTGTTGAGTCTGCAAAATGACATTGGGATCAAATCCAGAGCATCACCTGGCGTGGATGGAGAGTTCTGGAGTCTGCTGTCAGAAGAAAAGTATCCTAACATCCGAAGATGTGCTTTGAACTTAACAGCACTTTTTGGATCTACCTACCTGTGTGAGTCTGCTTTTTCACACATGAAAATCATCAAGTCCAAAAACAGATCCACAATGAATGATGATCATCTGGAGACCTGCCTGCGCCTCGCAACCACCTCATACTGTCCAGCTTATGAGACCCTGGCCTCCTCCTCTCAGTGTCAGAAGTCCCACTAAGGTAGAGACACATTTATTTTATACAGCTTGCATAAAAAGTTGTCTCCTATAGACACATCACGTTCTGTTTTATTTACTTTAAAGAAGTGAGGAGTAGGGATTGATGAAAAATTATGTTTGTTGATAATGAGACTGGACGAGTAGCTCTCGGCAAATTGCCGACTTCAAAAGTAGCTCTTGGTTCAAAAAAGGTTGGGCACCCCTGCTCTACAGGATGCTTGTGATCTCCGGGCCCTTAAACGTCACTGCACCTCAAACAGGAATGCCACTGTCAAGGAAATAACAGAATGGATTCAGGAATACTTCCAGAAAGCATCGTCAGTGGACACAATCCACCGTGCCATCCGCCGTTGCCAGCTGAAACTCTACAGTGCAAAGAGGAAGCCATTTCTAAGCAAGCTCCACAAGCTCAGACGTTTGCACTGGGCCAGGGGTCATTTAAATTGGAGTGTGGAAAAATGGAAGACTGTTCTATGGTCAGATGAGTCACGATTTGAAGTTCTTTATGGAACACTGGGACGCCATGTCACCTGTACCAGAGAGGACAAGGATAGCCCAAGTTGTTATCAACGCTCCGTTCAGATGCCTGCATCACTGATGGTATGGGGTTGCATGAGCGCTTGTGGCATGGGCAGCTTGCATGTCGGGAAAGGCACCATTAATGCAGAGAACTATGTTCAGGTTCTAGAACAACATATGCTCCCATCTAGACGTCATCTCTTTCAGGGAAGACCCTGCATTTTTCAACACGATAATGCCAGACCACATTCTGCAGCAATCACAACATCATGGCTACGTAGGAGAAGGATCCAGGTACTGAAATAGCCAGCCTGCAGTCCAGATCTTTCACCTATAGAGAACATTTGGCGCATCATAAAGAGGAAGGTGCGACAAAGAAGGCCCAAGACGATTGAACAGTTAGAGGCCTGTATTAGACATGAATGGAAGAGCATTCCTATTTCTAAACTTGAGAAACTGGTCTCCTCTGTCCCCAGAGGTCTGTTGAGTGTTGGAAGAAGAAGAGGGGATGCCACACAGTGGTAAAAATGGACTTGTCACAACTTTTTTGGGATTTGTTGACGCCATGAAATTTGGAAACAATGGATTTTTCCCTTAAAATGATACATTCTCTCAGTTTAAACTTTTGATCTGTGATTTGTGTTCTATTCTGAATAAAATATTAGATGTTGGCACCTCCACATCATTGCATTCAGTTTTTATTCACAATTTGTTTAGTGTCCCAACTATTTTGGAATCCGGTTAGTACATCACTTTATAATGTAGCTGCTTTTGTTTTTAATATAATTTTCAAATCATGTTTTTTCATGATTTTTTTACTGTTGTACTGATAAATATCTCCTGGAGGGTAAACTATATCTTGACTGCAAGTATCAAGCTGAGAAATCCTTTGTTTTCTACAACTGATAGTGGTTGGTCATTAATTATGATGAAGTTTATCAACTTCTCTGCAAACATTTGAGCTCCGTGGTTTCAGCAATGTTGTCTTCTTGTTCAATCTGAAGCAAGCAGCCTGATTTGGGTCAGCCGTGCTCAGCCTGTTCCTCCACAGAGACGGCAGACCGAGCGGGGCAGATTGGATGCGGCTGGCTGGGGTCGAGTCGTCTCTTTCCGGTTGAGCAAAGAGCAGCGCCCCGCTGAAGCCACGGAGCTCGAATGTCCAACGTAAAACTAACTTTACCGCGGTTTAATGTGGTGCTATGGCTCTGCAGACATTGCACGTTGCTGTCTTGTTTTGTGGTGTTTAGTGTAAGATACTTCCACACAGCGGACATGTTTAGATGAAAAGTTTGTTAGCCGTTAGCCACAGTGCTGCTAACTCAGTCTTCACGTTGTAGCTGGCTGCAAACTATGAACTGGATTTCCTGAATGTGAGGCGGGTCTTATTACTCTGGGTTCATGAGACACGCCACCGTTCAGGAAATCCATTCCATAGTTTGAAGCCAACATGCATCATGGATTGGAAATATCGGCAGGTGGATTGGAAAACTCCGATACGTAAATTATACTGGTATCGGAGGACGATACCGATACTGGATCGGATCGGCCCCATCCCTAATGAGAACAGCAGGACATGTATGAGGACAGCAGGACATGTATGAGGACAGCAGGACATGTATGAGGACAGCAGGACATGTATGAGAACAGCAGGACATGTATGAGAACAGCAGGACATGTATGAGGACAGTAGGACATGTATGAGGACAGCAGGACAGTGGTGAGATGTGCTGTAAGAGTGACAGATAGCTTCAAGGTGGAGGTGGGATTGAAGCAAGGATCTGTGAATCCCTTGTTTGCTCTGGTGATGGACCGACTAACAGATGAGGTCAGGCAAGAATCCCCGTGGACTATATGATGTTTGCAGATTACATTGTGATCTGAGAACAAGGAACGAGTGGAAGCAAAAAGTTTCAACAGTAATTGCAACAAAAGGGTGTTGGCAAAGGTCAAATGAAAAGTTTAAAAGACAGTAGAGCGGCTGTGGCTGAGTGGTTAGAGCAGTCGTCCTCCAATGCAAGAGTTGGGGGTTCGAATCCACCAGCAGTCACATGCTGAAGTGCCCCTGGGCAAGACACTGAACCCCTCATAGCCTCTGATGTGTGTCCCATCGGTGTATGAATGTGATAAAGTTCTGATTAGTCTCTTTAGAATGATTTGTTCAATTAGCTTTGTAGAGATGTAGTATACTGTTGTATGAAAGGGTAGATGAGGCACAGATTGTAATGTAAAGAGCTTTGAGTATCTCAATAAGATAGAAAGACTCTATATAAGTACAGTCCATTCCATTAACAGTGGTGAGACCAGCAATGTTATATGGTCTGAAGACAGAGACATGAACAAAAAGACAGGTGACAGAACTGAAAATAGCAGAAATAAAAATGTTAAGGTTCTCCTTAGGAGAGACAAGGCTGGATAAGATTAGGAATTATATCATCAGAGGTACAGCACAGGTTGAACAACTGGGAGATAAAGTTAGAGAGGCCAGACTGAGATGGTTTGGACATGTCCAGAGGAGGGACAGTGGGCATATTGGTAGAAGGATGTTAGAAATGCAGCTGCCAGGAAAAGACAAAGAGGAAGGTCAAAGAGGAGATATATGGATGCAGTTAGAGAGAACATGAAGGTAGTTGGAGTGAGGACAGAGGATGCAGAGGACAGAGTAAGGTGGAGGAGGATGACTCGCTGTGGCGACCCCTGAAGAGGGAACAGTCGAAAGAAAAAGAAAAAGTAAGCTAGATTAAATCAAAACAGTTGATTTTGTTAGTAGTGACATCCAGTCAATTTTCTGATAGTTTTGGGTTCCATTACTGTATCTGTGAATGAAATAAAGAGCAAACACCCCAACAATACCTGCCTACCTGCATAACTGAGAACAAAGCACAAACAGATATTCCAGTGTGTTTAATGATCAACAGAGAGGAAGAGGTTTGGGATGTCAAAAATCTACAAATTAGAGCAAGTACACAATAATCTGATTTACAGTAGTTATCCTTTTGCCTTACCGGACAACTCCTAGTCCCGGCCAGCTAAGCTCCTCCATGTATCTTAGTGAAGGTGAATGGCAGTGGGTCTCCTCTCTGAAGTCATGTCTTAAATTCATTGTAGAATGCATTGTTGGAACCAGCTCCACGAGCTTCACCAACAAGTCCTCAACATCCTTCTGTTGGGTGCCCAGAACTGAACAAATGGGGGGGGGGGGGGGGGGGGGATCCAACAGTTGATACTTTCACCCTTTTTGGGGAAACTTTATATAATGTAGAATGCAAATAAAACAAAGAGATTGTGTTGCATGTCTGTGTATGCTTTTCTGTTACCTGCAGCAGTAACGAGGGGGCTGAAACGAACACAGGTCCCTTCGTCTTCAAGCTCCACAACATCTACTCCACTGGTGGGAACCAGATGTGCCAGCTGTTCACCCAACTATATCCAAGATAACAGAAGAAAAGTGGGGGAGACGCTTGATGAAAGCAGTGACAATAAGAGATGTCCCCCATTGTTGAGGGATTTGAATAATGTCTGTAGTTTATGAGATGGGTGTTTTTCCGGACTGAATATTGACGTGGCAACCCAATTTTCAAAAAGAAACTTTCTTACGCCTAGATGCAGCCAAGAACAAAAATGGAAGTAGGTACCTCACTTATTTTCAAGTTATACTCACAACATGCACATACAGATGGACAAATGGACAGATTCAGCCCCCTCTCAGAGGGCTGATTTGATCCTGCATGTATAGCTGGGTGGCTCAAGTCATCAGTGTCTGTCTCTGAGCCGGGAGCTGATAAGTGTATAAAAAAACAATTCTCACACTGCCCATGGCAGATTCTCATGTCTGGGCTCCGTGCACATAGAACTTCTGTACATCTGTGTAACCTGTGGTGAAAGTCTGCCCATGCAAGTAAAACTTGTTAAAAATCTTCTCGTGTCCTCGAGTGTGGCTTCTTGAACAAGATGAATAGAGGATATTTTTATCTAACAATTTCCAATTCCCCCTTTTCAATCCACAATGAGGGACAATAAACTTATAAAAATGACTTGAGGTTCAGGAAAAAAGACTTAACTCATAATAGTTATGAGAAAAATAAAAGTCTAACTTCTATGAACTGGTCTTTAACAGGTTTTACAAGTGCTACGCCAATGTCCCTTGTCACTAAGGGATATGAAGAGTGAATGTTTGTAGTACTAGACAGGAATTGAACAGGAATGCAAGTAAACCTTAATGTTTTTGGTGAAAGATGTTCAAGCGGATAGGAGCTACGCTGTAGAGAAGAACAGAAGTACCGGTAGTTTTTTTTGTTTGTTTTGTTTCTGCTGTCCAAGACAGCGCAGGGCAACACATCCTGGTGAACGGAGGAAGCAATTTTATCCATGAAGTCAGCAAGTTGCTTATTTTTGAAGTTATCATGCTCACAACATGTACGGATGGATGAATAGCTGGACAAAGGTATACAGTATCTAATTGCTCCACGACCTGGACAAACATCTGTCTGAAGACAGCAAAGGGAAATGAAGTCTTGTTGCTTTGTGGCTGTGACTCAGAATGACATCTGAAATAGGACAGATTCTCACCTTTTACACCCCTACAACAAGCTTTGAACAATTTCTGAATTGCTGAAGTCTTCAAATGTGCATTTATAACCTAAAATACAAGTTTCTTAGAGGAGACAAACCCTCACCCATCTGTTGAAGGTATCTAGAAGTTTTTTTTCTCCAGGACTGAAGCCATCCTCTGACCCCACACTCGACCCTTTAAAAAAACAACAGGAGATGAGCAAATAAAGTAACTACATGATACAGTTTTAACAGAAAGTTGAGTATTTCTAAAATGTTAATTAAACAATCTGAAGAAACAACTGGGATTCATGACAGGACATACTAGAAGAATCGCTATTTGGAGCTGAACTCTGAGGACAAAAGTAAAATACTGGTACATATTTTGTACTTTTCCATCAGTGCATCATTTTGCATAGTGGGATTATCTACACTGCCTGGCCCAAAAAAAAAAAGTCGCCACCTGAATTTAACTAAGCAAACAGGTCTGAGCCTCCTATTGGATAATTACTTCATGGGCGATTTTCTTTCAGCTGCAACAAGTTATTTACCCCAACTGGTGCAATGAGTTGCTTCTCATTTCTTAAACAACCATGTTGAAAGACACATTGCGTGATTGTGGAAAAGATGTCAGTCTGTTAGAGAAGGGTCAGATCATCGGCATGCATCAAGCAGAGAAAACATCTAAGGAGATTCCAAAAAAGTTCAATCTGGTCCTCTGGACATTCAAAAAGCAAAAAACAAAACAAAGCAAAAAAATATAGAAATGTTTCGTCTCTCATCCAAGAGACTTCCTCAGTCTGAGGTGCTGTTTTCAGCTCAGTCTCTTAAATAGCACCCACTCAGAGTGGGTGCTATTTAAGAATCTAAGGAGATTGTAGAAACTACTAAAATTGGGTTAACTGTCCAACACACTATTAAAAACTGGCAGGACAGTGGGGACCCATCGTTTTCGAGGAAGAAATGGGGCTGGAAAAAAATCCTGAATGATCGTGATCGGCAATCACTTAAACATTTGGTGAAATTAAATGGAAGAAAAACAACAGTAGCACTCAGAGCCATGTTTAATAGGGAAAGTAAGAGCATTTCCACACGCACAATGTTAAGGGAACTGAAGGGACTGGGACTGAACAGCTGTGTAGCCTTAAGAAAACCACTAATCAGTGAGGCTAACTGGGGAAAAAAAGGCTTCAATTTGCTAGGGAGCATAAGATTGGATTCTGGAGCAATGGAAGAAGGTCATGTGGTCTGATGAGTCCAGATTTACCCTGTTCCAGAGTGATGGGCGCATCAGGGTAAGGAGAGAGGCGGGTAAAGTGATGCACACATCATGCCTAGTGCCTGGTCATCAATGCAAGATCTTGGTGAAAAATTAATGCAACACTGGATGGAAATGGATCTAGTGACATTGCAGAAGCTTATCGAAACAATACCACAGTAAATGCATGCCGTAATCAAAGCTAAAGGCGGTCCAACCAAATATTAGTGTGTGACCTTTTTTTTTTGGTGGCAACTTATTTTTTGGCCAGGCAGTGTAATTCAACTCATTTCAGTTTATTACATAACGCCAAATCACAACAGAAGCCGTTTCAGGGCACTGAACAGAAACATTCATATACATAAAAAGTAAGTTAACACAATTTATCTGAGGAGTAGACTGCCTTGAATTTAACTTCAACACATACTATCATTTTAAGCAAGAATGAAGGCAACAGTGGAAAGGAAAAACACTTAACAGGAAGAAACCTCCAGCAGAACCAGGCTCAGGATAAGCGGTTATCTGCTTTAACCAGCTGGGTTTGAAAGGAACAGGAAACAATGGCAAGTCAACAATCACATGTTAAGATAGAAATAGTATTGTTGGATATTTTTATCTAGACTGGTCCTATGGTTTTGATCTGCTCAGAGACAGCATGTCAAGTCCAAAACTCGACAACAAAACAAGTTTAACTTACTGATAACACCATCACTATTCCAATAACAACACATTCAGTGTAGGACAACACTCCAGTAGTCAATTACATGCCAGGGAGACAGAAAAGTGGGTGAAGAATTTATCCGACAGACAGCTCACCCAGCCAGAGACAGATATTCTTGCCAGGGGACTGAAATTTCTGGTTGCACCAAGAAAAATTCCTCTGGTGGAGATGATCACAGCTACTGAGTCAGCCATCCATAACAACAAAATTAAAGAGGGTGAGGCAGAACAACTCAATCAAAGTTTCAGCCTGCTTCAGAAATGCCAATCCACCACCTTCCGACATCAGTAGAGAGGAGAAGGATGCACTCACCACTCTTAGCAAGGCCAAAAACATCATCATTCTCCCAGCAGACAAAGGAAGGTGCACAGTGATTTTGAACCAGAAAGACTATCATGAGAAAGTTATGACACTCCTTAGTGACTTAACCACTTATGAGCTGCTGAAAAGAGATCCAGGAAGTGGTTACAAGTAGAAGTTGATAGATTGCCTGAAAATTTAGGAGCAGGACAAGGCTATTGACCGTATTCTGTACCACAGACTGTACCCAGGGGAAGCCACACCTAGTCTGTATGGTTTACCTAAAATCCACAAACAAGGTGTACCTTTAAGACCAATTGTTAGTATGATTAACTCTGTCACTTACAATGTTTCCAAATATCTGGCGTCTGTACTCATCCCTTTAGTTGGCAGCTCAGAACACCACATACATAACACCATGGACTTTGTGGATAAGGTGAGGGATGTCATCATGGAGACTGATGAAACAATGATCTCTTTTGATGTCACATCACTCTTTACGTGCATTCCTGTTGATGATGCAGTAGAGGTGGTCAGTTTAAGATTAAAATAAGACACCACTCTGAGCAGCAAGACCACGCTTTCCACAGAACAACTGTGTCAACTCTTGAAACTGTGCCTGCAGTCAACCTACTTCACATATGGGGAGCAATATTATAGGCAGAAACATGGGTGTGCTATGGGGTCTCCAGTTTCTCCTATTGTTGCCAACCTGCACATGGAGGAGGTAGAAAAGAGAGCCTTGACGTCCTTTTCAGGGACACCACCAAGTCATTGGTTCAGGTATGTTGACGACACCTGGGTTAAAATTAAATCTCAGGAAGTCCAACATTTTACTGACCACATCAACTCTGTGGATAAATACATCAAGTTCACACGAGAAGATGTAAAAAAAGATGGAAGGTTGGCTTTCTTGGACTGTGAGTTCTCAGTCTCTGAAAGAGGACATTTGCAAACTGAGCTGTACCACAAACCCACCCACACAGACCAGTATTTGCAGTTTGACTCCCATCACCCTTTGGAGCACAAGTTAGGAGTCATCAGGACTCTGTACCACAGAGCAGACAGCGTCCCTACTAACTCAGGAGCCAGGCAGAAGGAGAAATCCCACACAAGACAGGCTCTAGAGCAATGTGGATATCCTAACTGGGCCTTCCTGAAAGCAGAGAAGAAACCCAAACAGGACTCCAGTCAGCCATCAGGTGAAAAGGAGGAACCCAGACCCAGACCAGTGGTCATTCCATATGTTGAGGGAGTATCAGAGAAACAGAGACGTTTATTTTCTAAACACAACGTCCCAGTGGCTTTTAAACCCCAAAATACATTACGGCAAAGACTGGTTCATCCCAAAGATCCAGTCCCCCGGCACAAACAGAGTAATGTTGTGTATGATGTTCAGTGTCAGGAGGGCTGTGATCAGTCTTACATCGGGGAAACAAAACGCCACTGGCCAAAAGGATGGCCCAGCACAGAAGATCAACATCATCAGGCCAGGATTCTGAGGTCTACACTCATCTCCAGGCCAGCGGTCACTCTTTCAGGGATGAAGATGTTCACATCCTTGATAGAGAGGAACGATGGTTTGAGAGAGGAGTAAAGGAGGCCATCTTTGTGAAAAGAAATCGTCCATCATTAAACAGGGGTGGAGGCCTCCGGGTTCAACTGTCCCCCTCTTACAATGCTGTGATTGCTAGTATCACTCAGCCCTCTGTGAACAGTAAACAGCCATCAGGTGCTAATGATCCATTGTTAGGCTGATGGTCCTTCTTGAGCATGTGAGCAGCTGGTTTGGTTGTCAGCAACAAACTGGTTGATCCACTCTGAGAAGGTGCCATTTAAGAGACTGAGCTGAATACAGAACTTCGACTGAGGAAGTCTTTTGGATGAAAGACGAAACATTTCTACTATTTTTTTGTTTTGTTTTTTTGAATGTCCAGAGGACCAGATTTAACTCTTAGATTTTTCTACCTGGATTATTGAGGGCAGCACGGTGGAGCAACTGGTAGAGCTGCTGCCTCTCAGCGAGCAGGTCCCTGGTTCAAACCCCGGTCCAGGGGACTTTCTGGGTGGAGTTTGCATGTTCTTTCCGTGCATGCGTGGGTTTTCTCCAGGTACTCCAGTTTCCTCCCAGAGACCAAAAACATGCATGTTAGACTGATTGGTAACTCTAAAATTGTCCCTAGGTGTGAGTAAGAAAGTGAATGGTTGTTTGTCTCGTTTGTCTCTATGTGTCCCTGTGATGGACTTGCGACCCGTCCAGGGTGTACCCCGCCCCTCGCACAGTGATTGCTGGACATGGGCACTAGCGACCCCCGTGACCCAAAATGGAATAAGCGGGTAAAGAAAATGGATGGATGGATGGATGGATTATTGAGCATGCATCAGGAAATAAGATGGAGTGGTTTCATTTATACTAACAAAATTCTCCTGTTGTAGCCAGGTTTCTGTCAGACAGAATAAATCAATATGATTATCAGTTATCAGTTCATTAAAAACAGGGATTTAGAGGAAAGAGCTTTGATGTTCAATAAACCACATTTAATTACAGTATTTTATTTTTTTCTGGTAAAGTAATTTTATTTTAATAAGATTTTTATGATTTATATTTTTAGAGCTGCTTTGTGGTTTATTTAACTTGAGCCATGGGCGAGTCAAAACTGTTTCAATGGGGTTTTGGGTGGGTAACAGAGGAGAAGCAGCAAAGAACTGAAACTAAAACTAAACTGCGGCTGACAGAAACACTGACTGCTCCACTGGTACACTTTCACACATAGTGATTTCTCCAGAATGATAATATGATCAGTAGGTGAAGGGATATTCCCAATGTTTTTATTGAGAAGCATTACTCTGAAAGTGTTGTTTTTAGCCATGTGCTGGTGGGGTCTCGGTTATTCAGGACATTTGGTCACATGCAGGG